TGCTGCATACAGACACTTACATAATGTATAACAGCATTGACATACATAATGATACATAATACTTGTATGGCTATTATGTTTACCTGTAATCTCACTTACTACTATCCAGATGCCGGTTTAATATGCATGCTTATTTTTGTGAATTATTTTAAGCAGCTTAGTCTGTGTGAAAGGTAGTATTTAATATTATTATTAAATTATTATTTATTTACAAATTATTATTATTTTAACATTACACATGCAGTACATATTACCAACCGATCAGGCCTTTTTGCCCTGATCAGTATGAGCTATATTTTCTGTTTAAAAGGTTCTGTTAACAATAATGCAAGCAACCTAGATTTGTGTGTTACATATTGTAATTATGAATAGAATCTGCCATACTATGTATATTTTGGAAGACAGCTACATGATTTGGATCTACATTGTTTTATAATATTACAATAAAAAAAGGTCTGAACAGATGTGTGCAGTAATCCTGAATACAGAGGTCAGATAATGCTAAATAGTTTTTTTCACAAACCATTCAGTTTATAAACGAAAAAGGGCTATTTTGCAGCAGATAAACACTTTTTCATAAACTATGGAAATGTACATTAGTTCAATTCATTCTAATCAGTATAGGCCTACACTTAAAAATATGCACATGGCCATGGCCATTATAAATGTGTGTGTGTGTGTGTGTGTGCGCGTTTTTGTGACAAATGAGGACATAAATTTGTATAATGACAAATGTATGACATAGGTATTACAAGGAGAAGGTGACTTTTCAGGACATTACCCCATGTCCCCACTTTTCAAAACGCATATAAATCACACAGAATGGAGTGTATTGAAAATCTGAAATAGCACACAGTTTCCTGTAAGGGGTAGGTTTAGGGGTAGGGTTGGTGTAGGGCTATAGCACATACAGTTTGTACAGTATAAAAACCAATACGCCTATGGGATGTCCCCACTTTTCACAAAAACAAACCTGTGTGTGTGTGTGTGTGTGTGTGTGTGTGTGTGTTTGTGTGTGTGTGAAGTAAAATAAGAGCTCTTCAGAGGCTTTCAATCTCTTGTAATAGTGTTATTATCTTAATGGAGGTGCCAAACACACAAGACTGGAAAGGTCCATGTCCCTTTGTTTTGTGAGCCTGAGAGTAAGTGGTTTTATATTACCCTGCTCTGCTATATGGCTACCTCTCAATATGAAATGTGCATTACTCTTGGGAGCTACAGTGAACAGCCCGAGACATTGCTCCATCCTCACCTCATGAGGCACATCAGAGTAATCAAGTTTAAATTTTCTCTTTCTCGAGAGGGTCATGCCGCTGTTCATATTAGGGGCACGGGCCATCAAGTGCATCTGCAGGTGGTAATGACAGAGAGCAGAATGTTTAACATGGAAGCAAAGTGTGTCTATGAAGGAAGGAGGGTTAGAATTTGATTCCAGACATGACCGAATTTGGACTTAAGTCCATCTCAAGTCCAAGTCTAAAATCATATTTGTTATGAGTAGTGGAGACCTTGGCTGCATTTCTCAAAAGCATTGTGACCACTGGTGGCAATAGATCTACAATCTACTTTGGCTTACGATGCTTTTGGGAAAAGTAGCCCTGGTCATTCGAGTCAGAGTCTAGGACAAGTCTAAATCCTCAGAAAAATATGAACTTGGACTTGGAATACTACAACGGTGTTGTGCATGTAGTGACGCTAGTCCACATGAACCAAAGTAAAAATACCCAGGCATCAAAGACATTTTTCTTCGTACACAAAGAAATCCAATTATCTTTACCCTTTTTCTGGGAAGAACGCAATTATAGGGAAACAATGTGACGCTGATGACTTTCGATAACAGAATGCCATGCGATAGTGGAGAAAGGATATATGGTCTATGAGATTTGAAGATCTGGACACTATCACTGCAAGGTGGAATATTCAGTTACATCATCTCTCCTGGTACGGATCACTTCGCTGACTAAGACCCCCTCCCTCATGACAGCACAATTTAATTTATATTCAGCCAAAATGGAAATTATGAGGAGAAAAACACTCATTCCTTCTCTGGCCAAAATGGTGGCCATTTACTTGTATATCATCAAACCCATTCCATTTCTAAACTGAACCTTGCCCTTGTGTCACACCGAACGGTGCTGCTCATCAAGGAATGCTTATAATGCTTCCTGACAAGATTTATACAGTGTTCATCCTCTGGTGATTCTAGCCTCTCTACAATACTATTTGTTTGATCTTTCTGCATTCGCTGACCACAATTCAGTTCAAATCATCTGGTGCACTCTTCACCCATGCTCTCACCGTCAGCTTGACATGTGCATTACCATAATGTATCTCTCTAGTATGACACTGAGGGTAATTGCAATTACTACATCTCTCTTCCCTTTGTCACTTTGCTGGCAAATGGAAAGCGACAATAATATTCCTTCGCCTGGAATGACATAAACATGGTCAGCTTAAAAACTTGATCCAGGGAAGCTTAAAGAGTCTGAGGTCACCTTGCCCTCCACCTCCGCCGTGCTTCCACCCCAGGTAGTTAACAACGACGAAGCTCTCGTTATCCACTGTGCTATCGGTGACAGAGTTGCACTCCCCGTTGTTGTCAACACACTGAAGAGCAGTGGTACGGCGAGATAGGATTTCATAGACAGCCTCTTCATAATGCTCCTGGGCAATGTCATGCTCAACGGTGGGCTCTTGTTAGGAGCTGAGGGAAGGTTATCAGTCCTGACACACGCTTATCAGCACACGTCCATCTCGTAGCACTGGCGCTGCGCGCACCACCCACCGAAGTACACAGATGCTGTTTACCCGCGCCAGGAGTGGGCCGCCACAGTTAATTCAACATGATTGTCTCCCAAAGGACAGAAAGCCGAGATTTTGATGGGGAAGGAGGGACAAAACTCAACACACGTCTTCCCAGAAGAAAGGGACCCAGTGCGAGGAGTCTACGCTTCCCATCGCTATTTTGTTAAACCTCGCTTAACATCGCTAAGGGAGGATTTTTGGGATCCGAGGGCTGATTCAATCATGGGTAATTGCTATCGGATAATAAAAGAGGACACACAAGGCGGGCTTATTCACCGGGATTCTTGGGGGCTTACTGACACAATATCTCTGCTGTCAATTATCTCTCCCGATCTGACAGGTGCACAATAACAGGCACTGGGATCTTTCTATTGAGCTGGTAAACTCAAGCTCCTTTTGAGTACGGAAAGTGTGTGACATGAGGGGATTGAGTCTGATTCGCAGCTCTCATCCCTGCGCTGCCCTCCCCATCCTCTTTCCTCAATCCACTAATCATATTCTCTTAAAAACTGCTGGAGAATCAATAGCCGGCCTGATTTACTTTGTTAGACGACATTAAATATTCAGACGACAGAGTCTACATATTGAGTCCACTACCTCAAGCATTGGCGAATGTTTCCGGGTGAAGGCCTACCTGTCAAATTGGCTTTAACTGCATTAAAGCATCTACATAATTCCCGAGGTTGTTTTGCCTGGACAGCGCCTCTTTGAGGAAATCATAAATAGGGAGGTCAGCAGAGAGCGAAAGGACAGCACCCTGCATGAGGTGCTCTGGTATTTTTGGCCCTGTCTGCTCACTGATTTGACTTTAATGAAGAGACTGGATTTGTGCAGTTGTGCTCGCCCAAGGCTAAAGTCATGCAACTCCGGCAAAACAAATGAGAGAGGAGCAATTACGAGACGCAATAAACAGACTCAGTATTTTCCCCTTGAGCGCTAGAACTACATCACAGTTGCAGAAACCAAAAGCAACCAGGTACCCAAGGGCGAAATAAAATGAACCAACAGCACCCCTCGGCAGCTGGTGAGGGGTGCAGACATAAGGATGTGGAGAGAGGGAATTTAGTAGACGGGAATACTAGCTCTGTAATGTTGAGAAGAAGAAAGCGTCATCTAGTAGCGATGTACGTAAGTGAGTGCAGCCAACCCAGCCCAAGTGATTTTCCACATGCAAGATGTTTTCAGGGGACTAAATATGCCACAATGACATCTGGCTGAGAGAATCACTGATTGCCCTCTCATCACAAGCAGCAGCCAGTTGCAAAGTAAATGAGCTTATCCATGTTGTTCTCTGAGAGCTAAACGTGATTAAGGAATTCAACCTACGAAAATTATGCTATAATCCCGAATCTCTTGAAGATCAAACATTCAGGAGGATGAATTGTTCTCTCCTTCTCTCTGAGTGCATTAGCGGAAGATCAACAATAAATATTGAATATTAGCATGAGATAGAGCTTCATCCTTTTCATTTCTGCACGCCTTGCAAGAAAATGTTCTTTAATTTTTGACTGGTGATTTATGTTTCCCTCAAGGCAAAACTGCTGACTTTCTAAGTGCTCCTAAATGCATAATCTTGTGGGAGGCAAACACACACTATTGTTAACTATTCATTAACAACTGAACAAGGCGCTAAATATGCATTTTTTGTATTCTAAAAGTTTAATCAAAGTGCTGTTGGGTTAGCTGGAGAAGATAGGATGTCAAAAGCTACATTTTCCAGGGCACATTACCTCTCAGATGGGTAAAAAGCAAAACTTTGATTACAGTAGAACTGGGCACGTTAAACATTTCCAACAATATAGAAATGGCCAAACGCAATAATGTTGACCATTTTCCAACCCTTTAAATAATGAGTAGAATATATTACAAATGTGAGGCAGAATAAATACTGAATGCCATTTTAAGACATCAATGCTGATACAGAAATTCTTCTTTACAACAGTTTGTAACTTTTATTCAAAGATCAACATCGCCTGCTACCCATATAGTACAGCAGAGAGAAGTACTACTATGACTTGCAGCACTTCAAGTGATATATCAAAATCTGCATATCTTTCTGTACAGTACTAGTCCAGGTGTGCTGAAGCTTAACCAAGCTTGTTATTTACTTAGATTAGGCTGCATGCAACAGATCTGATTGACAGTAACTTAACCTATAAATGCTAGAGTCATAGCTGTCAAAGGTTTGTACTCACCTGCTCTCCTGGCTCATGCGACTTCATAAGGCTCTTCTCTCTGTACATTGACCAAAGGCCGACGTTTGGCAGAAAAATTAAAGCCACCATGAATAGAAATGCCATCTGCAGAACGCGCTTTTGCCTTCTCTTCATTTTGAAGACGCGAATGAGACACAATCCAGCGCTAGATAGACGCGTGTCTGCCGTGTGTGGACTCGAGCTCCGTTATCTCCCCTCGTAGAAGACGACAAACTTTCACCTGCAAGGAAGACAGAGTCGCCGCGTCATATAAACAAACACTCCAGAATGAAGCGGGCAACACAGACTTATTATGCGTATTAATCTCGGGCTCGAGAGCAACACTAGCTGTCTCTTAACTGACATGCGTAATTAAGCAAACATTAACTGAACACTCTATAGAACAATCATATATTATCAATAATTAAGACAATTCTGCAACAGCCAGTAGAGCTAAGACAAAACATAAGCAGATGAGCTCGTTTTGTATCAGTCACGCGAGACGCAACGCGCGTAAGCAATACTATGAAAAGACTTACAGTAGAGGGTTATTTGCATGTTGAGACATATATGTTGCTCGGTAATCCCCTCTCCTTTGTTGAAGACACTCAAGGGGAACGTTTCCGAGACGATAATTGCAGAACAACGACGAGCGTTACGTTTTTATCTGTGGCAATGCGCTCGAGCTACAATTTGAAACCGTCTCGTGCTCTTCATTAAAACCCTCGCGCGCTTCCCACCTACTGAAGGTTTACGGATTCTTTCTCTTTCCTCCTTGGGCGACTTCTCGTTGCCCTCAGCTTTAGATATTGCGGTTATAAACCACGTGTGCTGCGCATTAATATGAAAACATCCTCGCAGTCGGGCGATGCTTTCCGATGTGTGGGACAGCACAGTGAAGCAGCAGTCTTTACACCAACACGAGCTCACAGAGTAAAGAGGTGAGCGATTCTTAGCTTTGCTTTGAGCTGGTGAACCGTAGCTTTGCTTGATCTTTAAACGCAAATGTGTTCATACGTTCAAGTCATTAACCCTGTTTATAGCTCTAATTTGACTACTTCTGTTTGTTATTTTGGAAATGACTCTTATAAACACTGTAAACCAGTTAGTAAAGGTTAGTAAAGGAAAACTAATGAAAAAATCTGATAACTACTAACTACTATATATATATATGTATATGTGTGTGTGTGTGTGTGTGTGTGTGTGTATATATATATGCGATTTTACTGTAAATTCTGGATGTCTGTAAGAATAAAATGCATTAATTGCTTTATAAGTAACGATATTAATATTTAATAAGATATATATATATATATATATAACAAGGCAATACTTGTACAGTACTTTTAGAGAAATATATGCATAAATTCTGTACATGACTCACCTTAGTTCGCTGTGAAAAACATTGTGAAGTATAGAATTTGATCACATGTAACATGCAGAAGGTTATATTTATATAATATTTATCAAATATGCACAGCAATCTTTTATTTTTCATTTTAAGTTAAGTTTAATAAAGTTTCTTTTGTTTATTTATATTTATTCAGTTTTAATTATTTTTAGTGTTCTGTGTTTGTTTGTGACACTGTGCTTTGTCTATACATGCTCATTACATGGAGGTTCAAGATGGTGCCGGTGTGTGTGGCGAGCCGTCTGCCCTGTTCGTTTTATGTGTTGATGTTGGCTATTTTAGCTATTTTAACATCAGTTTTAACTACCGTGAGCAAATTACCGGCTTCTATTAGAGCTGTGCCCTCTTTGCCAGTATTTATACCAGCTTAAAAAAACATCTTTTGTCAATAGCTTTTATCTAGCCATGTCAATTGTATTGTTATATTGTGTTTTGATGTTTTGTGGTTTCTTATTTGTTTTATTTTAGATGTATTGTACAGAACTTTGGATCAACCGGTAGTTGCGTGAAAGTGCTTTATAAAGAAAGAAAGAAACAAAGAAAGATTCACTTTTTTAGTAGTTTTTAGTATTCAAACTTAGCATATCAGCATTGTATCAATTATTTGGAGGCTACTATGAATTAAGAATCTTTTGTTCACTGTGCATCATTAATTCTGCTGCTGTACTCTAAGAATTCCTCACGCTGCATTAGTCAATCAAGACTGACTCATGATCATGATCTTTTTTTTTCTTTTTTTTTTTGGATTGGACTCTATTGAAGAAGCACACATTTCTTTGAAGCTGTTTATTTATTATTGAATGCTGCTATACTTGATGGGAATGAAAGGGAGACAGATGGGGTGGGGTGGGGGTACGCTTACGCCAAAGGCAACTGCAGCACAGCATATGGAGACAGCATACACAAGGGATCACGTGATGTTTCTAAGTGAATTGCAGAGCTTCATGAATTTTGTCAATACTAGGTTGGATCTGGTCCTGAATATTTAAAAGCAATTATACACAATCTTACTAAGTTGTTTTCCCTTGCTATTGTAAATAAAATATACAAAAATAATGAACTTTGTGTTGGTACAGTTTGAATTTCCAACCACCAACAGAGGGGGCCATTAGGCACAGCACATACATATATATATATATATATATATATATATATAATTAATGCTGCTGTAACAGAACCACGATTACCATGATTTGCATCACTCCATTCACAGCCTATTTGTTTCAGCACCATGGACAGCAATTGGCAAGCACAGTAAAGCAGGTAACTGAGGGCAATGTAAAAATATCCACTGGTCTCATGAGAAGAGACTGCTTCTCTACTTAGAACCTTAAACTTAATATATCTTTGAAAACATATAGCAAATTGTAAATGCATATCAAATGTAAAATCTAACTAAAAATACACACACACAATGGCACATATCTTGCCAAAGCATCAGACTGCACTCACACTAGAGAAAAGCATTCGTTCAAGGCAAGAATTCACTATGTCTGCTCTTTGTCTTAATTATTATGGTGCAGCACATCAGTCAAATCATTTGATGCAGCATATTGGCTGTGACAGAGAAGAATGAGCCATCTCAATCTTCCACATAGATTAAATTCTGCAAATGGCTTTGAAAGAGAGAGAAAAAGAAAGCTGGTTTTATGATGCTCACAAGGTGAGAAGTGTAATATCAGCACCATACTGTTGTTCTGATAGAAACAAGAATGCAATTACCTTTTACATATCATTTCAGCAATAAACAATGTATTTCTTATTATACAAACTATGATAGAAATAATCCCTCTGCTCTGAGTGCAGACACCACTGACTGATACTCTCTACAAATATAGAAATGAATAAAAATGCCCTAACTTTGAGCACAGGGCCCTGCTTTGCTTATTATAACTCTCACAGGTTAAAAACTAAATAAATAAAAGAATCTCTAGACAGTGTCTCATGCAAGGCTGAACTAAAACTGAACTGAAAGGTGCTAAGAGATCAACATATGACACTGTGAAATATGCATCAGCTGCATCATGAGTAATTTCTAAAACTGGATGTGTGACAACTCACTACTATTTGCAACAGCCAGTTTAGTCAGCCTCTCAAAGCCACAAATACATGTTCACAGGGAGTGTTGTTAGCTCTAAGGTCAAACCAAAGGGTCTGCTACTGCATTACCCCCGGAGAAAATTGGGGGTCAAATGCCAAGATCTTACATTCAGTTAAGGCTGTAACTGTCATGTTACAGGATTTGACTTTATAGCCCTTTGGGTATGAGCTTTTGTTTTTATTCTACTCTGTAACTCTGAGTTTTACTGTCTACTGTGCGTCCCTTCAAAATATTATTAATTAGTCCAACCCATCAACCAGCCTACCCAAGATCCCCAAGTGAACTGTCTTGCACGCAAAATTAATGCACCATAAAGCAAGTGACATAAATAAATGGCTGGGATGAATACTGGATGACAGCCACACACAAATCACAGCACAAATATAGTTTCCATCAAATGTATTCAGCATCAGTTTAAACTGATGAAGTGACAAATAATGGGCAAGCTAATATTCTGCAGTCATGTGTGCAGATGCTGTGGAGGACAAGCACAATGAGTTATTCTAATCACAACGCAATGAGCTAAATGCCATGCCTGCAGCTAATTGTGAAATGTGACAAATGAGTGTTCATCTGAGGAGAAACAGATGAATTGTTTGCCTGAGGAAGACAGCGTTTGAAGGATTTTAGGGGAAAAAGTTATGAGTAAAAACACAGCTTTTTGTGCATAAACACACACACACACTGAAATCTGTCTGATAAACATTATAAAGGATGCAATAACTGCTGCACGGTATAGGTGCATTCCCTGCAAATTGAACTTCACAGGATATTCTGCCACCCTAAGGGAGATTCCTATCTGAGGGGAGCGTACAGTACATATTCAGTTTCATTGGCACTGCATAGGAAATAAGGGTATGTTGAAACATCACTTAATAAAACTGGTACTACTTTGACATCTGCATAGGGACCCTATCTGCTAAATCCCTCTTACTGTGTTCACTGCAATTTGTAATTACAGTAATTACTACAGTACATGGCAACCCGGATGTTCTACTTGCAGTTGTTCACATCCTCAGACTAGGAATGTGTTTCTATGGCAACAATGTTAACGGCAAAATTAATTTGTGGAATTTCAAGTCATCAATGGACAAAACCACAATACATCAAGTACCAGTCATTACACAGATACCTTAATAATGATCTATACTACATGTACTACTCTAGCTATTCAACTCTGTGTTTGCTACATTCATTTTGTATGTTTTTCTTTTATTTTCAGTTTATTCTTGCCTTAAGACAATAGGTAATAACATTAAATTAAAGGAATTGATAAACAGAAATATTACGAAAATAAATGCTTATAAGGATAGTTCACCCAAAGATGGAAATTCTGTCATTAATTTCTCACCCTTCGTTCCAAACCTGTAAGACCTTCGTTCATCTTTGGGACACAAATTAAGATATTTTGGATGAAATCCAAGAGCTTTCTGACCCTGTATAGACAGCAACACAACTAACATGTTCAAGGCCCAAAAAGGTAGTAAGGACATTGTTAAAACAGTCCATGTGACATCGGTTCAACCATAATTTTATGAAGCTATGAGAATACGTTTTGCATGCAAAGAAAACAAAAATAAAAAGGTTGAAGATTATTTATGAGGTTATGTATTAAGGTTGAACCACTGATGTCACATGGACTATTTTAGCGATATCCTTACTATCTTTCTTGTCCTTGAACGTGTCAGTTCTGTTGCTGTCTATGCAGGGTCAGAAAGCTCTCGGATTTCATCAAAAATATCTTAATTTGTGTTCTAAAGATGAACGAAGGTCTTACGGGTTTGGAATGACACGAGGGTGAGAAATTTATGACAGAATTTTCAGTTTTGGGTGAACTATCCCTTTAACTACATTTCACTGCTGAAGTCACTGTATGTTTCCACATGGTGTTTCATTGCTCAGGTGTACAAGTTACGAGTTTTTAATCACGAGTTTTACAAAGACATGAGCACTTTTTACAAGTCAGAATCTTGTAATTACAGTAATTATGACATGGTTTCAATGTACTTTCCATACACTTTTTAATCCACCACACTGTTGCAGCTGTCAGGTGGTACAACTTTACAAGTTGCAATTATGAGCTTTAAAAGATGTCAAAAATTTTTACAAGTCAGACTCTCATAATTACAATCATTCTGACATGGGGTCAACACACTTTCCATCCACTTTATTATCCACCACACTGTTGCGGTGGTCAGGTGGTACAACTTTACAAGTTGTAATTCTGAGTTTTACAAGGATGTGACAATTTTTTACAAGCTGGAATCTTGTAATTATGTTAATTCCAACATGGTGTCAAAGCACTTTTCATCCACTTTATTTTTCAATTATGCTATTTTTTGTGAGTGTGGGAGCTATAGGTAAATAACTAGAAGAATATTTGTGCTACAAACCAGTGCATTTATGATTATGATAATAAAATAATACGA